TTTGAGACTTTACTTAGTCGACTAACATGTGATAGAATAAATATAACAATAGGTTAAATAATGTATGTAAACTTCGTGCCTTGTTGTGTTTTTATTCACTAACGTCATATTAACGTCAAATTTTGTTGATTTCTGACAATTTTACGAACACTTGTTGGCTTTTGTTAATGGTTAACCGCGGTCATTTTAAAATGATAATATTACAGTACCTTCGATGGTAATTTTAAAGAATAAAGGAGGGGATTTTCCACATTTGTTTTCATTGGCAACTTGTAGCAATTAAACGTCCTTAATTATTTTTAAATGACCCTCGTATTTATTTAAGTCGGTAAGGCATTGAATAATAATCACAGACCTCTGAAAAAATAACCTCTCGTTTTCAACCAGAATTGACAAGGAAAATCAAATGATGGAAATTCAATCCAAAGAGCTACAAATACACCAACTGTATACATAACTTCATTACAAACCTGAAAATTTAACATCTGACCTTAAAATTTAAGTCTATTTTGGTCGCACTTTAAATAATAATTGTTTTTGTTCATTAACGTGGCGCTGCGTAATATTAGCGCTGTTATGTTAAATTATGAGTAAAATTCGGTGAGAAATTATGTTAAGTATTGACCTAGGTTAGTTATCATGAATTAGCCATTAATTTATTTTAATGAATCAAATTCAGTTAGTCAACATGTTCAATTTTACTCACCACTCCACCTAATTGTGAAAAAATGCGTCTCGCCATTTTTAACAAGCTATATTTATACCAAATAGACTCGTACCCTCACTCCATAAAATAAATTTCATACAAAAGTCAACTCCTTTTTATTCCGATAAAAAGTGAATTCCCAAAAATTTATTTCTATCGAGTCCCTACATTACACAATATCTCATCTGAACAAATTCCATTTCGATGGGGTTTATAGTTTCTCAAAAATCTCGCGGCACATGAATCAGTGTCGCCTTTCTCCGTTACGGTTTTCATTTTAAATTGTTTTAATAAACTACATCAACAATTAATATGCAGTAAAAAGTACACCCTGTATGCATTGAATTTTCGTACCGATGAAAATTCAATGGATACAGTTGTGAGAGAGGCTTTATTTACACCTCTCTCAAGCCATACCCTCCCGCAACCTTTTTATTTCAGACTGATAGACTTGAACCTTGCGTCTTCGACGCTCGTCCGGTGCCCATTGAGGGCTGTTAAAGGCCGTCGTCACTAACGAGGTGACAACGCCCGGGATTGACGGCTAAGCGTCCCCTCCTAGGAACGGAGCAGGTGGCTCACTTTCGATAGAAGGTGAACCACAGAGGATTCACCTAATTGATAAATTCAGCTTGCTTCTGTTGCAATACATTTCAAAAATTTTACATTTGTAGATCCTTAAACTGTACAACTTATCACCGAATCGAATGAATCAAGCTTAACTATAATCTTCCTCAGAAAATGGACTTAAAAAATATTTTTTTATATATGCGAACAAAAACTATTCAGATAGCTTGTAATTTTTCTTAAAGATTAGGCTAGGAAAGGCAAAAGAATTTTTCAAATACAAATTGTAATTACACAGATTTTGTGTTTGAATTGGGTTATTTTCAAATCAAACTGGTAGTTCCACAGATTAATGTATTCAGCAAAAAAAAACTATTTATATAGTTTGTAACTTTTCTTAGGAATTGGGCTATCACATGCATAAAAAAACTTCAAATCCGACAGGTAATATCAGAGATTAACGCATTAAAAAAAAATCAGCTTTATGATATTAGTATAGATATGTAAGCGATATTACTGTAAAGTTTCAGCAAATTCAGTTCAACCTTTTAAAGCGTGATTGGGTAATAAACAATTAGAATTTACATTTTATATTACCATAGTTAAATTGAACGCTATTTTCGACCTCTCAAAAATATTCGCCTATAAATTCTTTCTACAAAGTGTGGTTATGGCGGTGTTAGGCTTTTAACAGATTTAACCTTTAGTTGTCGGGTCTATTTATTATCCATCAGAGTCATATTGAACCATACCTAATGAAATAAATATTTTTGCTTACGTGAAAGTGGCTTTTGTTGATTTTTTTTTCAAATCAAATTAAATCAAAAATATCTTTATTTCGTAGGTAACAGAAATTACACTTGAAATGCGTCATAAATAACTGTGCGTTATAAACAACTGTTTTCGACATTAAATTACTACGTATTCCACATGCTGATTCACCATGAGAATAATGGACAAGAAACTCAAGGTTTGCTCTTTTTTACTCATTGATACAAAATATTGAATAATTAATAATTTAGCGCAACACTTAGTAATAACATGAAGCAACCTGATCGGCAAACAGTCCATCCCATGGGTTTTTTTCATTAATATATCCAGATACAGTATAATACCCTTTGTCATACAACTTTCTTTTAACGAAACGCTTAAATTCATAAAATGGAAAATTTTGAATTTCAGCTGGGATCTTATTATAAAAGCGCACACATTGCCCCTTAAACGATTTATTAACTTTGTTTAGACGGCTTTTATGAATAGCAAGATCGTTCTTATGTCTAGTCTTAATGTTATGGATGTCGCTCCTTTCTTGGAACATTTCTATATGTCTCTTGATATATACCAGGTTTTAGTGTATGTATTGTAACGCAAAAGTTAATATATTAATTTTCTTAAATTTTTTTCTGAGAGACACCATTGGTCTCAAATTACAAACAGCACGATCTCGCTTCTGCAGCACAAAAACTGTGTTAATATTGGCTGCGTTACTCCATAACAAAATTCTATAGGTCACGAGACTATGAAAAAAAACTGAAATAAACTTATCTCGCGGTCCTTTCATCTGTAAGTCGTTGAGTTCTTTTCATTGCATTTGTTACAGAACTAGCCTTTTTGCCAATCTGGTATATGAGAATTCCAACGCAATTTATCATATAAAGTGAAACCAAGGAATAAGGTCGTGTCCACAATATCCAGTATCTCGTTCTTGACCATTACGTTGCCGTTGATCAGTTTAACACTAGTCAAGGAAAATTGAACAAGTTTTGTTTTCTTCTCATCAAGATGAAGATTATTAGTATTAAACTACCCAACTATTTCAGAGATGATACTGTTTACTTCGTCAAAAGCTGGTTGTTGCCTATCAATCTTAAAAAGTAAATAAGTATTATCAGCAAACAGGACAATCCCATGCCCATCCTTAACAAGATGTGCTGGATCATTAATGTAAACTAGGAATAGAAATGGTATAAGAACTGAACCCTGCGGTACACCCATACTGACTGTAGATCCCGACGACCTCTCACCATCAACTCTTTCAATTCTATCTTTTAAATAAGATGTAGTTTCCTGATTAATATGTCGTGATAAACGTAATCAAAAGCCTTGGATAAATCACAAAATACACCGATTGCGTACCGTGAATCCTTCCAGGTATCAAAAATCTGTTGAATAAGCTCAACACTGGCTTCTGTTGTTTAGCGACCCTTTCTGAATCCGAATACCTTAATATTCATTAAGTTTTTATTATAAAATTACCGCAATAATTGATTTAAAATAAGCTTTTCAAAAATTTTACTGAGTGTCGGTAATATTGATATCGATCTAAAGTTAGAAGGGATAATATACTACCGGATTTCAATAATGGAATAACTTTCCTTTGCTTAATTTGTTCAGAAAACACACCACAATCAACTCAATCATTAAGAGTCACTACTAAGCATGGAGAAATGCAGTCTATTATTGAATCTATTATTTTTACAGAAAAGCCATCAAGATCAGCAGTTTTTTTTTATGTATTTGAATGTTTGTTAAAAAAAGTAACTTTTTTCTACATTAAGTTTATTTTATCACCACTACCTTTTCCATTTTGTGTTTTAATATTTGCCTTTAAGCTATGCTCGTAGTTTTGTTGTTTGATCTTTAAATTAATAAATTATTAAGCGATCCGTGTGAACGAAATACATGAGCACGCAACATATGATTATCCACGCGACAGCCGTAGTTCCTTTGTCATAGCAATATCGAAATGTTTGACCTTTAACTTTATTGATAGTCACATTGTATGTCGAATTCAATGAAAATTGTAATTGCCTGAAAAGTGCAAATCGGTCGATATTAGAAGTGTTCACGGTACACATGTCGTTTCCTTTATATTTTTTTGATGATTTTTATACTCACTTTGATGAGCTCACCTATAGATAATCTTGTGCTAATCAATGTATACGTTGGGTTTTAATCAGTCCTTGTTGAGCCATACCCTCCGATAATATTATTATTGCTGAATGAAGGGCTTGGGATTAAATTCGATAAAAATGTTAATTTTGACCACTTTATTTAGAAATATTATTCGACATTGACATTTTTTTAAAAGTCCATTGTCGTGTCGTACATTCTTAATTAAATAGGAGTTTGCAGCAATGAATATACGTAATATTGCAACTCGTCAACGTTGTAACTTTTTTCAATATTTCATCGTTCATGGCGTCTTTATCACTTATTCATTACAATAAAAGCTTTAGTTATGTTGTGGAGTATTTTTTAGCTTATACTAAATTGTTTCATTATTAAAATTGGTTTCGAAATGTATATTATCGTGATAAGGTAAACATATAATTTTATCATACCATTCTTCAATGCACTCTTAATAGGATAGTTTACTATTTTATTATGTAACTGTATTTAAAGCTTTTTTATTTGAGAAACATTTTACCTAAAACTTTTTTTTAATAATTATAAAAAAAACCCGAGTAATAACTTCTTTAAATTGCTTATTAACCTGAGACGGCACTAGTACCCAGTGACGTCATTGTTTACAAGCGCCATAAACAATAATGTTGAATTCCGTTTCGTAAGAAATAGATGGCATAGAATTTGGAACGAAATTCTTTATTCCATATTAGACTTGGCGCTCGGCGGACGGAAGCTACACGAAAAAAAGTGTAACCGCAACGGGAAATGTTGACCGTTGTTGTTTAAGTTAACATTTTTATAAGTCTGTATGCCAATGTACATAACACGCTGAATTCACCAGATCTCGTCCGATCATCGCGGTTAAGGAGCGTCGGGTGCGGTCACTACTTGGATGGGTGACAGCCTGGGAGCACCTCGTGATTTTGGCTTTTTTTTTGTGCCTATGTTCTTTTCATGGTAGTTTATAATAAAGTATAATTATAATTTTCATTACAATATTTTATTATCATTCCCTCATTCTTTTTAATGAACATTTCATTTCATTACTCGCAAAGGTTGTTTATTGATATCCATTGTTCTTGTAGTTATATACAATAAACTTTTTTGTTTCTTAATTATGTTTCTTGAGAGTGTTAGATTGTTCCAGTTCTAAAAAGTATTCAATGTTATATTTTCAATAAATAAATACTTGTACAAATATGTGAAAATGATATATTGTTGATTTCATAATCACGTAATTGTGCAAATTAACGAACTTAACAAAGTCTTTAATAAATCATTTTCATGACGCTATTTAGTGCTTTTTTGGAATCTTAATAATTAATATAAAAAAGTGTTCATTTACAACTTACAAATATTTTTTACGATTTATTCACTTATATTATCTATATAATTACTTTCAAAAATTGTAATTAATTTTACTGTTGTTATTCAAAACAAAAAATATATTTACATGTAGCGAAAGGAACGTTCCGATCGGGTGTCCCAAAAACACGTCATGAGTTTTTTGATGGCTTATACTTCATTGATTTTTTAGTCAATTGCAATTATGTTATCACTTTTAGTTTTTACGTCTATTACGTACATAATTCAGCATTAAATATAGCATTCTAAGCCTTTGTAAACTACCCTATTGCTGATATGTTTCTCGATTGTTTTCATAAATCTAACCTTCGATACTTAGATCTTCAAAATGTGCTTATTAGGAGATTGTGTGAAGTAATAAATACAAACACAAGCGCTCAGTGTTTTATAAATGCATACGCAGACTCGCTGTTTCGTTCGTTCTTTGATCATTATGTCGTGTATTTTTAACAACCACGTTTTTAACAAAAAGAACGTGACCACAACAACGAGCATACAGATTAGGTGATTACCACCGCCCATGGACGTCATTAACCCCGAAGGAGTCTCTAGAGCTTTATCGACGCTTTAGAAAGAAGGCTCATCTCTCAAAGACCCCTTTGTCATAGATATTTGTTGTAACTGCTGTTGGTAGATCATTCCAAACTTTCACCGTACGTGATAGGGTGTTGCGCATGGAGCGTACAATGGTAGAACTTCAGCCATCAATATGGTAATGATGGTATTTTGGACGAGTGGAACGATGACGGGGTTCAGTAGCAACATCACAAAGGCGGATCAAGATGGCCGGATATTACAAAGTCCTCGACGACTTAAAGCACTCGACGTTGGATGCGGTCTAAGGGCGGGAGTTGATATTGAAGAACCTCAGCACAGAGGTGACAACGATACCCTCCATGCCGTCGGACCTGTGCCTTATAAAATAAAAGGTAATGGTTCGGCTTAAAGTACTGTCGTGCTTTACTGGATACTCTGAATTTTTTAGGATAGAGGTGTGATACAAAAGGGAGTGCTGGTTTTTGCCACTGTCCAAGTGAAATACGTACAGTCACTGAATACTTTCAACAACTCCTCAATGAAAAAAAATATACTACATTTTCTTTTTTAAATATTTTCCCTTACATTTTATACATTTTTTCCTTAGTTCAAACCATTTTTAAAACATTTGTAACTATGCTTTGAGGTAATGTTTTGCGTGCGTGTGCGTGTACGTGTTTGAAAGCTATTACAGCTTCTTATGTCCCTGTAAATATTAAATCTATGAAAAAAATCTTTATTTCCGGTGAAATAAAGAATCAAATAAACCCCCAAATATTCTTATAGGTGGTACGTCGGTTTTTTTCGATTAGCCATCTGATAGTAGCTACATTTTCCTCATTTATTGCAGTTGAATGCCGACTTTAAAGAATCTTATCATAGTGAGAACCTAGACCACGATTAAATTCAGAGAAACAACGCCAAAAATATTATTTAGGTGTCAGTTCGGTTTTTAGTTCGTGGGTAGTACTTAGGCGAAAGCAGAAACAAAATCATCGAAAGTCAATTAGAAAACTACGAAACGTGGCAATGAAAAAAGAACACAGCTAGTCTCGTCCTTGAGGTAATAAAACTGAAATCGTCCGAGTTCAATTCATTTGTGAGTTATACACATAATTATCGGTGTACTTCAAAGACACAGCAATCAATATTGGCTAATTAATTGATAACTAATGATTCTTATCAAATGGGATAATTCAGAGTGGCGATAGCAACATATACTTATAGGTGGACGAACGGTGGAGTGGACGCTTACTTACTCTCCGCAATGATGAGAGCTGTCTTGCTGCTGGCGCTGGTGTACGTGTTCCGCTGCCGAGTGGAGGCGGCGGTCAGATCTTCGGGGGAGGTCAACGAGCGCCCCATCATAGGGGTGCTGTCGCAAGAGCAGTCCTATTACCTCCATACCAAGTATCCCGAAGAGAACTACACTAGCTACATCGCCGCGTCCTACGTCAAGGACGTAGAAGCATCTGGTGCCAGAGTCGTCCCGATTTTGTGAGTGATTCGTAATTGCTTTAATCGTAAAGTTTTATACCCGTTCATTCTCCGGTATTCATAGTGACTGAGTAGTTTGTACGTATTACGAAATACAATTGGTAAGGTACATCGAGAACGTAACGAAAAATTGTTTTGTGTCCAGATTTTGGTAATCTGTAATATTTAAATTGCAGAATGTTTACAATTACGATTGGCAAGAAATTATTGAGCATTTAACTTGTAAATGTATTAATTATATATATACATAAATAAATATAAATTATTCAATAGATGGGAAGTATTTTCAAGAGTACGAGACGATAGATTTAAACTACCCTAGGAGATAAGGGAAGTAGGTTCGGGACAAGAAGAAGATAACGGGACAAATTTTGTGTTCTGACCATAATTTTTTTATTTAATTACCACCATAAGGCTAATTTACCTAAAATCATAACATACTTTCACTCATTTGTTTCAGGATTGGAAAGGACCGCTCTTATTATGAAGAACTTCTTGGCAAGCTGAATGGGTGGGTAAACAATATTTTGGTTTTTTGCTTACAAAAATTGTTAAAATTGAATATTTATTCAATCTCTACGATGTTAAATTGACACGTGGCAAGGCAAAATTGACGATTTATGACATAATTAAACAACGGTCGTTTACATATATTATGAGAGATGTGACTCAGGTTCAATGCATTGGAATAAAATCTAAACTTTCTGAGCTTTAAAACGGCATACTCAATTTTGACATTGGAATACGCATTGGAATGGGAGTTTAAATGATTTGAACGCAGGTCCTCGCGATGTATTCACAATTCGGGCAGTTTTTGGTCTTATTAATTCGTTCCGACTAGACGCTCCCTTATCAATATTTATACAGCGTTTCAATTACCCTAACTTAAAATTATCGAGTCTGCATCATCGTGACCTAAAAATTACTTCTGTCGAGTGCGCGCGCCGGCAAAGCTTTATCATCCTTGCGAAATTTTTACGTCACATTGATGCAGATTCAATTGTTTAAGTTAGTGTGATTGAGCCGTTGAACGCTTCTCCCTAAATACGGTCGTCACTTCTGAGTGTATCAGGGTCTTTTCCCAAACTAATGCTTACATTATAACAGTAAATATAAATTTCATTAAATGAATTTGTCTTATAAATGTCAATAGTATTTATTAATTTTCAATATGGACGATAGTAATAATAAAAGTGGGAATATTAAAGCTTCAAAAGTAAACGCAGCACAAAAAGTAACTTTTATTTTTATTTTTTTTATTAAAAATTATTTTGATCCAAAAAAAAATAAATAAATTCAAATGCTTCATAACTGCAAGGTGTCCGTGATAGTAGTTTTTTTTGGAAGTGAAATTTCATAGGCGGTGATTCGTTAATCAATAATTAGACGATAATTGAGAGTTGCATCACGTTTAAGTTTGTTTCGTTACATGAGAGACAACAAAAATTGGAACAAAAGGGAACGTATACACGCCATGTAAATGTACACGATAGATGCTATATTTGAGCAGTTGAGGTACTACGCATTGTGTAATTAATACTTATCCTTGTATTTAGTGATTATTTACAATTTTCACTTTGTTTATTTTTTATTTTTTTACTCTATCCGTGAATAGTTATTGTTTAAAAATTTTACCTTCTATCACGCGTACAATGGTGCACGCACAATTTTCCATATTTATGTTTAACTATTACTTTTAGATATATTAATTATACTTTAGATTTTTTTCATATTAAGGACATTGTAAAAATCATAAAAATTTCTTAAATTTTAATGTTCAGAAAAATATTAAAATATGCTAAACCACACAGGTTAAAAAAATACTTTTTTAATAATTGAATAAACATCTTGATAAATAGTTACGATTTTAATTTCAATTTCCATAATAAAATCTATTTATTATGTGTCTAGCGTTAGCAACTCTTCAGGATTTGTCCAGTATTTGTATGCTCATGCAATAATTAAAAAAATATTATAGATTTATTTATAATAAATAAATCTATAATATTTTTTGTTTATTTCAAAATTATTAATCAATAATAATAATTATTATTGAATAATAATTTTGTTTCAACAAAACAATTATAAGCAAGCAGAATCAATATCTTCTGGTTTCGTTTCAATTATCGTAATGAAAATAGTTATGTGTCGTTGATGTTTTCTCTATGGCCACGAAATTATTTTTTTTATATTTGAATTTGCAATCATTTTCATTTCGCAAAATAATGATTAATATACACGAACTGTTGTCGAAACTAAATCATCAGTCAATTTTCATTTTACAATTAATCATGTATATGATTTCTTCCACGAGACACATCAACTTGAAAGAAGTATATCCTTCTCGAATAATACGAAGGACAATGTCTTTTTGAAATCGGAGTAATAGATAATACAATGGTCTCTTTCTATTGTTAATGAAATATTTATAAGAAATGACAATTATGGACATAATATTTTGCCTTAAACTGAACAAAAAACTTGAGCATTTTGGTTTGCTAAATATATAAAATAGTTTGTC